AAACAACAAAAAAGGAAAGTTTACGCAAGAAGAAAACGGGTGTTTATGAGAAAGAACAGCGTCAATTTGACTCTGAAACACAATTGCCTATTACCGCCGAGAAAGTTAGGTAGTTAGGTGCTCATGCCGGGAGCGAAACATCTCAAAAATAGCCTTTGCAAGACCACGCTGATCATCCACTTGCATGATATCACGGATGTTCGCATTGACGGGCACACCGAGGTCCCAGATCTTCTGACGCGCAGACATAATCGCCGGACATTCTACCAGGAAGTGTTTCTCATCCTCAATAGCACCATTACTACGACACACAGCGCACACGCGGTGCTCCCTAGCCCTGTTGCTCTCACTGTTAACCGCCAGGTCAGAGACACACAAACGAAAGCGGATTAGGGCACGATGATGCGCCGGGGGGATATAACCCGCGTACGGCTTCGGTGGCCCCATCCAGTGCTTATGGCGGCCCATCTTCACGCCGGGCTTCCTACCGTCCGTAACGAAAACTCTAGGGTCCACATCTAGCCTATCATTCGCCCAGTCGTCGTTGACACGTGTCCTAAGGGTATCCATCAGCGCTTCGACATCAAGCTTGCAAGCCGAGTAACGTCTAACCCTCATATCAATGCCTCCCCCGACTGCCTCCTCACCCCAGTCATGCTCTAAGTGGTTAAGGATACGAATGACTTTGGATCCCCAACCATCAAACTGTAAATTCGTTACTAACGCCAAACGAATTTCCTGACGAAAGGCGCTGTGGTTTTCATGCGAAGACTACGTTACAAACAAGTACCTGCACGCAAGGAAAGAACGTCTTCATGAAAGGGTAGGGCCGGGTGAGGGCACACTACCACGATAGGGCCGGGTGAGGGCACACTACCACGAAGCGGAACACCAAGGCCTACAGACCAACCGCTTCACGGCAGCACCCAAACGTAGCTACGAACAACCCGAATTAGCAAACACTGTCGCGTGCCGCGACACAAGAGCCACACTGGCTCGTACGCCATACGGCAAAGACACTCCGTATTCGCAGAAAACCTTAGTTTTCAACGCTTCACGTAGAAAACTGTCAGTATACGCTACTAGTATCCTCCACCAAACTATTCCAGAAGCGAAATACGGATTCAGCCCAGTGCAGCTGTAGCGGCATCTGACCTAGCTCCATGAACAGAAGCTGGAGGGGTGGTACAGAAGTCCCTACCAATTGTTTCATGAAAAAGATTTGGAGCTTGACCATGCGGTCTCGTATAGCCACATCGAAATAGCATGACCGCGGTGCCTCGTTAGCCGGATAGCCCTTGTCCAACATCGCGAGAACCTGGTCAGCCCCCCACACCTGCGAGCCGTATGATAAGACAGAACGAACTTGCGCATTGAAACACTTCATGCCGACGCTAGGTAGCAGCAGACCCTGCCGGCGCAGCTTGTTACGCAGAGCAAACATGGCCCGTTGGCCAGCCGAGAACAGCTCATCCGTGCAAGACGCAAAACCCGAGTCTGGTCCGAAGTGCAGCCCCAGATAACGGGCGCGTGTTTTCCAAGTGACCGGACGGAAGATCGGTAACCCCTCTTCAAGTGCGCGCATGGTGACCAGGTTGTATCCGCTGAGAGCATAGACCTGCCTTCTAACCTGACCATTGGGGTGAAAAAACAATAACTCACACTTTTGCACGTTGACAGTGAGACCGAAAGCCTCTGACCACTCCCGCAGTGCCCGTAATAAGCTCATCAACCGTCTCAATGACATCGCGAAGAGGCTCAAGTCATCAGCATAGAGAGATAGGGGCACTCGACGTCCTTCAACGCTAGGGGTGTCATGGGCCGCCATGGCGTCAGGAAGTGCGACGTCTAGGGCATCGATGTAATCTGCAAAACCTTCGACAAAAAAACCGAAGAGCGTGGGGCTCATAGGGCAACCCTGCTTGACCCCTTGGGTGGAGGGAATCGCCTCTCCTTTTGCTCCATCAACCTGGACTCGCATTTCCACCCGATTGTAGCAGCGCTTGATGACATCTAACGCAGAGCCCGTGACTCCTCGTTCCTCAAGTCTAACCCAGAGCAGCTCTCGATTAACCCGGTCAAAAGCTTTCTCAAAATCAATCTGGCAAACAAACAACGCTTGTCCGGGGACGTTAACAAAATCCTTACGGCATCGGTCTGTGAGGTGTCGCACCAAGAACAAATTCTGAGTGGTGCCGCGCCGTGGTCGAAAGCCACCCTGATAAGGGCTCCGCGCACCACAACGTTCCCCCAAGGCTTTTAGCCTCCGGTCGAGCAATAACGCATAAAGCTTAGACAAAGCCCCACCGACGGCAAGCCCCCGGTAGTTTTTTGGATCCATGACGTCGCCCTTCTTGTGGATGGGTGTGAGGGCGGATATCTCGAACTGCCTTGGGTAATCCCCAGTCGACCGGATATGTTCCAACAGACGCAGCAAATACGGTGCAAGCACCATCTCTTCCTTTTCGCCCACCTTTCTAGTGGCATACTTATAGCACTCAGCAGGGGCCCTTTCAAGTCCTGGGGATTTATTGTTGCCCAGCATTTTTAGTGCAGCAATGACCTCTGCCAAGGTAAACGGGGCACTGAGGGCCGCCGCAGCAGCTACTCGGGCTAAGCAGCTCTCACCAGCCCAGCCGCGCGGTATTGTAAGTGAGCACCCATTTACGAGGTTCATCATGTAATCCGCTCTAACCTCATTAAAAGCGTTGATCTCGTCGTTGTATAGTGCGTCAAAATAATCGCGCCAGCTGTTGACGTCACGTATTGGGCAATCAGGTGTCGCCCCCTGGTTAAGTTGCCGCCACAATGCACGCGGATTCCCTTTGCACTCCTCAAGAAACGAAGTAAAATGCGATACACGATGGGCAGCCATTGCCTCCTTCCTAATCCTCTGGTAGTGAGAGCGCAGGAGTGTAAAGATATGCCGCGCCTGCTCATCAGCAAGTAGTCCCTGCGCCCTCATATGTGCCTTTTGCAGCAACATGTCGCTGCGTGCCGCTGCGCATTCCTGGGTCCACCATGTTGCTATGTAAGCGGTGTACGACATAATCGAAAAGAGGAAACATGCACGGCAGCGAGTTCCGGATTTCAGTTGAAATGGAGACGAGAAAGCCTTAGCACAGGTTTATGTATTAGACTTAACGCAAACACATTAAAAATATTTTCGGTTCTATTATGGAGGATTGTGGGAATGCCATAGATTTCACGTTGGAAATTGCCTTTTGGTGGGCGCCTTAACGGCTACGTCCGTGCGGGCGCGCTCGCCCTTAACGCGCAACTTACGAATCTATTGCGATTCGCTTCTTTTTCATTCGACTTTCTAATCGGTGACGCCTGAAAAGGGCATGGTCAGTAAACGTGGTTCCCAGACACATTTGAGAAGAAGGGCTGAGTTGTAGTGCTTCACGCCGCGCGAACAAAAGCGATTTCAGGTCTCCAGACGCCAGGCCTTCCTGGGAAAAGCAAATGGCCACCTCTCGTTCATACGTGCTGTAAAATCCGGTCCTGTCAGGATGACGTATTGATTGAAGCTGCTTGCATAAAGTTGAGCTGCTCCGCTGTAAAAGCTACATATATCAAATTTTATACCGATGGGGACTGCATGCACCCTTCAAGCCGTGGGGAAGCCAAAGCCGAAGACTTTGGCCGACGTTAACCTTTCCATGTCCACAGTACTTACAAGAAGTCCTGCGAGCACACCTACCTTTGTACGCACAAAGGTGTGGTGATACCTTCGCCCCAAAAAGCAACGGATGAGACCCGGCTTGATGCTGTAGTTGCAGCATTGTTGATCATCCGCCTTAGATTAAACTACAGAGCTCATGAAACTGCCCTATTTCCTCTCACAATTTCCCCGGATGGTGTCCATCACCCACAGCCCAAACCGTGACTCCAAACAAGGTTAAACTTTGATAGCTCATGCAACGCACATATTCGCTGATGAGGAAGTTCCTTGAAGCCTCCACGGTCAAGAATACCGTCGGTACCAAATGCAAAGAATGCCGCGGCACTCGGCTGGAAGCCCAGTCTTCCAAAAGTCCGATGCGCCGGTTTCCCCATGCTGTACATCGTGGCCCAAGGGAAGGAGACGTTTGTGCGTGCAACCTAATCCCCCCAGCCTCACCCACTCCCCAGCCCTTCATCACATCCTATGGACTCGTCGAACCCCTAAGAGGCGCAACCCCCCCCACACACACACGCACCTTGCCACACCCCAACGTGGGCGGTGCCCACTTCAAACCCTTCACGAGGTGTGCGGTCCTAAGCCCCGTTCCATTCCCAAATGCGACGAGCACTCTCCCCGCGGAAGATAACGCCGCCGTCGACAAGATCAGGCCATCCGAGATGGCAATCCACAAGTGCCTCAGCAACTCCTCTCAGCAACGTCAGCAGCGACTTCATAAACAATACCGCTGCTGCCGCGACTGCGACTTGCTTGCTGCCCTTGATGCCGCGACAGCTAATATGCCACGTGGCCGTCAGGGTCCTCAGGGAACAGCAACAAATTTTACCCTTTTGCTCATCCACAGTGATGACGATGCCGTGATGACAACACCGCCACTGCCTGCCATTGTGGCGCCCATAGACCACCTGGTGTACACCACGTATATAACCACCAGATTCGCCGTCACTTCGCCGCCTTGCTGCGGGCCTGCAGCGCCCTCTCCCGCCACGACAAGCCCTGCTGCTTGAGCACCGCGGAGCTCAACGTGTCCCCCAATGGCACCGCCACTGCCGCATTCGCCGGGTCTACATGGGCGCTTGGGACTCGAGGCATTCCCTGCGGCCTGCCACCGCCCCACTCACCACCGCCCCCGCTGGGCTCTCCCGCCGCTTGAGCAGCTGCCAGAGCCCCGAGCTCATCCAGCTCGACCACCACGGGGCCATCCTCGTCCACGTCAAGCAGGCCAAGCAGCCGCTGTACATTCTGCACGCCGCCGCTGCTGCCGCAGCCAGGAGCTCTTGTTACAGCGCCCGCGATGGTGTTAGGGCCACAGCTCGCACCACCAATTTCGGAAGCCGCGGCCCCTCCGGCGGCAGCAACACCGGCGAGACCAGCACCAGAAGCACTTAATGCTGTAGTGGCGCCCTTCGAAATAGCAGCCGCGGCAACAGCAGCTGCGACATCAGCTGTACCAGAAGCTGGCGTCGGCATCGCGGCTGCCGCAATGGAGCCAGGTGGATGGGCTCCCGAGCCCTGGCCACTGGATGGGCGCCGGTCCCCCGGGTCACCCCGAATGCCCGTCCTGCCGCCCGGGAGGGGGTTCGATCGGGTGATCTCCCGGTCGCTGGCAGGGCGGTTCGTGGTGTCCTTATACCTGCCGTCCATGCCTGAAGTGTTGTCGTGATCACCACGACGCTCCCTATCTCTGTCCATGGCCCGATCTGCATCCCGATACTGCTCCCTATCCCGATCCCTGTCCCTTTCCCTGCCCCGCTCTCGATCCCGGTCTCGATCCCGGTCTCGATCTCGATCCCGGTCTCGATCCCGGTCTCGATCCCGATCCCGTTCTCGATCCCGATCCCGGTCTCGATCCCGGTCTCGATCCCGGTCTCGATCCCGATCCCGTTCTCGATCTCGATCCCGGTCTCGATCCCGATCCCGATCCCGGTCTCGATCCCGGTCTCGATCCCGGTCTCGATCCCGATCCCGGTCTCGATCCCGGTCTCGATCCCGGTCTCGATCCCGATCCCGATCCCGGTCTCGATCCCGATCCCGGTCTCGATCCTGTTCTCGGTCACGACCCCGATCCTTGTCCCTGCCCCGTTCCCTCGCTCCATCCCGGCCCCGATCCCGCACTCCTTCCCCACCCTGCTTCCGGCCTTCCTGCTGCCCCATTTCCCGACCACTACTGCCACCTCCTCGCGCCTGCCGCGCCACGTCATCCCCTTGATCTATAGTCTTCCCCGTCGCTGCTGCTGCCCCTGCTGCAGGCGCCGCGACTGGCGCTCCTACCGCCCCGAAAATGGCAGCCTCATGCTGCGCCTCCGCCCGCCTCAACGCCTTCTGCCGCAGCTCGACATCCATCGTCCGGCGGAAACTTAGCGCATTTAGCTCCTCGCCGCCTAGGCCATCCATATCCTCTGGCAGGCCATGCGAATTATAGCGCTTCTCCCCCATCTCGCCGCCGTCCCCGGGCCCTGACGTCCATGCACCAGCGGCGCCATTGGAGGCCAAGCCCGGCTGAGCGCCATCCTCATCGAGCGGCGCCTCGTTATTAAGGACGAAGCGCGTCCACTGCCCGCCGCCATCACCATCGCCGCTGCGAACCCGCGAGTCTGCTTGCTTCAGCGCCAGTCGCGTCCGAGCCCGAAGCCGCTCCGCTGGGCCCATTGCATCGTAACCTGTAATGGTTCACATACGGACAGAGAGTGGGACGCCGGAGGCACGTGTACATCTGTGCCTCATAATACTTGAGATCCGCAGTGAAGCCATGCCGCTCCGCTTCTGCTGTCAGGATTCTGCCTGGAATGGAACTCTGCGCTTTCCCCCCTTAGTCGTTAATGGACATGAATGCATGAAAAAGGATGGAACTTGGAGGCAATCCGAGCGTTTGCCTAACTAACTGGGAGGCATACAACACGCACGATGGGGCTAGGGCCGCAGCTCACCAGACGCCGCTTCAGCCCTTTCCATGTAAACGGAACGGATGCCGGCTCTCGCTCGGTGCTTCGTATTTCCATCCCTGATGGCAATCCCCTAGTTCGCAGCCAAGAGCCCTGAAAGTTCTTATCCCTACCTGGGATAAGCTCCGAATAGTCCTTGGTCCCCCTTTTGTCTTTGGCGCCACTGCCGCCGCTTCGCTGTGCGCCGTTTCGTGAGAAGAAGTCGGTATCGGTTGCTGCTCCCCGCCGTGGAGCCGTGAAGCCGCTTCGGCCATCCTCTCCCTGACGGCTGCCTTCGTCACTGCGCTGCCATGAGCGCGCTCCCGTGGGCCCTATGTCCTCCCTGCGATCTGGCGGCGTCCGCAGCAGGCGTCCAGCGTTGCTACCGCCACGGCCATCATCCTCATTATCGTCATATGAGCTGCGGCTCAGGGCGCAGCCGGGGAGGGGAAGGATTTGGTTCAATGATCGGAATTGTAGCCGGCCTGGTAAAGCGTTGTAGAAAGGCGATCATACTGGGACGGGGGTTTGGTTGTGCGTTCCGGGTTTTACGTGTTGCGCGAACCGCGAGGGAACGCGCACGAAAAACACTGGCTAGAGATGGCTAGAGCTGGGGTAGATGCATAAGCGTGTACGTAAATGTCTCCATGGTAAAATATGGGCATCCGCTCTGGTATGGGCCCTACCGGTGCTGGCGCCGTCGCTTTGCCGGAACCTCGTCGTCGCTGTCGTCATGAAGGGTACCATACGTGGAAGCTGACTTTCTTGTGGTTTCTACGCCAAAGCTTGTAGAGGACCGCACAAAAGATGAGAGCAAAGGTTTAGGAGCACCGGCTACGTGACCGTTCCGCTCGGGAGGCGATGTTCGGACCCCAAAGCCAAGGCCCTGTTTCTGCTTCGCACCCTCATTTACACGAGCGAACAAAGTATATAGACGATGGGCGTCGTCTTCTTCCATGATCACCTGTCAAGCAACTATTGTGAGCAACTGCTCATTATAACTCGCCAGTATAGAATCTGCGTAACTCAGGAGGAAATGCAAAATAGACGGCCTAAGGATAACTTGAACTGGAATGTTTCAGGAATTGCATAAACAATTTTATTGTATCAAGGGCTTGTCGTGGACGCCAGCAGTGGCTGCGGACTTTCGAACTTTTCTGGTGCCTTTGTGCTAGTATCACCGTCGCTACGTTTGGACCTCACCAAAAGAGTAATACACTGGATTAGGAACTCGGAGGCCCCTTTCGGGCGTGCCCAACCGCCATGCTCAAGTTCTTCTTCAAGGAAGACCCAAAGGAGCTTGTGCGGAAATGGCAGGCGACCTTGCGGGCAGAGCAGCGGGGCCTAGACCGGCAAGTCCGGGGTACGTCTTAGGCTCTCAAAGCTTCCCGGCAACCTTGCCCGTTGACCCACTTGATACGTGAATATGCACACTTTCGTAATTCGTCAATAGATATCCAATTTGAGGAGAAAAAGGTCCACAAGGCCATCAGGGAAGCTGCCAAGCGGGGCGATATGGGTTCTGCCAAGGTGAGCAACAAGCACACAGATGCCGCCAGCCTCTCCCGCTATCGTTCATGCCTACAAATGACCTCACCTCGCATGTAGCTGCCAATGAGCGCAGAGGGGGAAAGGAAGCTTTACGCCTTAAGGAAGCTCCCCGTAACCAAGCCCCTGCCGCCACAGAGCGCATCTCTCCTACAGCCATGCCCAATGGGTTCGCAAGCGCCGCGAAGGGCCATGATCACTTCACACCCCCGCCATGCAAGCTCATGCTCATGCTTCCTCCCAGCACACTGACACATAAACCACCTGTAGCCTTTCTTCGCTCCGTGACCTCGCCCTGACCCCCCTTCGGGCGCCTAAGCGCGGCCCCCACTACCGGATACACATGACACACATCCCAGTTGCTGCGCCCACCTTCATTGGCCCCCAATGGGGGCCCCCATGCTGACGCCCCCTCTCCCCCCAACCCCCTCCCGGCCACACCCCACCCCACCCACATGCAGCACCTGGCCAAAGAGATCATCCAGAGCCGCAAGGCGGTGGCCAGGCTGTACACCAACAAGGCCCACCTGCAGAGCCTCAATACCGCCCTCATGGAGCAGCTAGGTACTCAGGGGGGACTCAGGGGTGTGCTGGCGGAGTGGGCAGGTCGGAGGGGTGTGGATGGGCTAGGGCAGTGGGTCTTCCAGCTCGCGAAACCAAGAGGGAGAGCACACAACACACAGCGTAACAAGGGGAGCCACGTTCCCCGGAGTTGCAGCCCGTTTACACGCCCCCTTACGAGGGTGTGCGGAGGAAACATGCATTTGGCTATGACCTTGTAAAGGCGGCTGGCTGCGTGGCTATAGCCCTCCGACGGTTGTTTTCTTGGGGGCCTCGGGTTTTGGTGCTCCTGGGTGGCCGTTACGCTGCCGACCCTGCCTGCCTGGCCGCTGGCATGCTTTGTTAACCGCCCCTCCCCGCTCCTCCCCGCGTTTTCTCACCCCCTTGTCTGGCCCTCCTCTCTGTCTACCTGCGCTGCCCTGTCCGCCTGCCCGCCTGCCTGCTGTCCACCTCTTAGCCATGTTGCGGGTTGCCGGTACTCTGAGCAAGAGCACCGAGGTGATGAAGGCGGTCAATACGGTCATCAAGGCGCCGGAGCTGCAGAAAACCATGATGGAGATGTCCAAGGGTGGGTGGTGGTGGTCGGGGTGGTGGCTGGGTTTATGCTGATTGTTTCCGCACAACGTCGGGATCAACATCAGGGAATGCATAGTTGGGTCCTGGTGCATGGTGCGGGCGGTGCCGGCTTCATTCCTTGACTTGCTCCTGGCATATGAGCTGCTGGAGCAGGGCGCCCGGTGCCACCCATGCACATAGCATTACATGCTTGAGCGTGCTGACTTGCCGGGTCGTCCTGTGGTGGGGTTGGGGTGTGTGTCTGTGTGTGTGTCTGTGTGTGTGTCTGTGTGTGTGTCTGTGTGTGTGTCTGTGTGTGTGTCTGTGTGTGTGTCTGTGTGTGTGTGTGTGTGTGTGGCTGGGGGCCCGGATCCACAGAGATGATGAAGGTGGGCCTGATCGAGGAAATGATCAGCGACGCCATCGATGGCGCTCTGGGTGCGGAGGACGAGGAGGAGGAGACGGAGGAGGAGGTGCAGAAGGTGCTTGATGAGATTGCGGTGGAGACGCGGGCGGCACTACCGGATGCCAGGGTGAGGGCGATGTGGGTGTGGGATGAGGCTCTTGGCAAGGAAGGCCCCAGCCTGGCGAGGCGCCCATGCGGTGTGGGGAACTATGGTAATCCATATACAGGGGTGACGAGTGGGAAAATGGAACGGGTTGGCAGCATAGGGAGCTGTGCTGTTGCGATTCAGATGGGCCCAAGGGGAGGGCAATGACTCGGTAGCGCCCATCCGAGCCGCATTTGCATGCTAATATCCGCCTCATTTGTTTAAAACGCCTCATTTGTTTAATCCTCCTCTCGCTCGCGGCTGCGTGTCCCGCATGTCCCAACCAAACGCGCAGCGTGCCGCTCGGGAGCGCCAGCAGGCTGCTGCGGCGGAGGAGGGTGACGACATGGAGGAGCTGCGGGCCCGGCTGGATGCAGTGAAGGCCTAGACAGCTCGGGGTGGGGGCCCATGGCCATGGGCAGCACAACGGCCACACCACGCACACGGCGCGCTTGTCGCGGTTCAGTGCGGCCAGCGACCCCTTGGGCGGGCGGCATGGGCCCCAAGCCGGGAGCGGGAACTCGTCTCGGGGTGCGCAAGATCTAAGCTCGCAGGACAGGAAGGGGAGGGAGAGCGGGGAAGAATGAAACTGCAGCTAGACAGCGGGGGGAAGGGCGGAAGGGAGAAAGAGACATCCAACCGAACGCTTGCTCGACACGTTAGCAGCTGCCTCTGATCTTTTTCTTGTTGGTGGTGGGTGGTGCTGCTTGGGCCCGGTCCGGCCGGTAAGTGGGGGCTGGCTTACGTCACCTCTTGAGTATAAGGGGGTAGTCATTTACCAAAGGAAACGGAGGTAGTTCCGTGAAGTGCATTACATGTGACGAGTGTGGCGAGTGTGCAATCGCGGGAGGAGGGCGGGTCTCTCCTGGATGGCCGGAACATGCCTGGCTGATATGAAGGTAGGGAGATAGGGAGGGGCCTTTGAGTATGTGTATACATGTATATATGTAAGGTAGGGGTCGCGGTCCGCTTGACCGAGCTGGATGTAGAGCCGCGGGTGGGGAGAAGGCTTTAAGCTGGGTACGTTTGGGGAGAGAGTTTTTGAAGAAGTGGACTGGACTGAAGGTTTCTGATGGCACCCTAACGGGGATGGGCGCCTTGTTCCGTTGTTCGGCTGAAGGTTTCAACTATGGAACGGCAAGGGTGCTGCTCATGTGACGCTGCTATTGGCGTTGACGCACTTACCTTGTTTGCCGACTGTTATCGACGCGGTGACGCAAGTGCAGGGTGATGATATGGGAAGTGTGCATTGTGCCGTACATTAACGGTTTTGGGTGCCTTAATGCAAGAGTGAGATTTATTGAAGTATCCATATATTGTTGTTTCTTGCTACTTGGCACAATTCATATACTGAGAAATAATGCTGAAAATAAATTAAGCTACGTCTTATGATAGATACATTATATTAATACTCCAGTTCGAAGCAAGTAAAATGAGCCTCAGCCCTATACCTGTGCATTTGAGCTGCTTTGGTGTTAGCTCAGATGCGATGAACATGGTTCGCGGCTATTCTAAGCCCAGCTACTCCGACCGCTTAGCATCAGTGCGGAACTCCCTTGCGGTAGCCTGCCCTGAGACAAGTTCGGCAGCAACAAGCAGTAGTGCATTGGGGACGTCAACAAATGGGAACCGAGCAGCGGCCCACCCGTCGTCTTGCCGACAGGTGTGAAACATTTATTAACGTTGATGGCACAAGATTAATTGTATTGTTTTACAAAATTACAATGGCCCATGAGCGTGCACCTCAATATCCGAGCCCTGGGAACTAAATAGTCGGCCACTGGAACGCATGCAAGTTCTATAACCTCGTCGCAGCCTTACACGTCGCACAAAAAATATGTAGGGACTATGTTCAAGCTCCGTAGCTAACTAAGCACATCCACAGCCGCGTACTTAGTGTCCTACCTCGAACGCATCTCAGCGTGGGAAGACTTCCTCGCCTCCAGGCTCCTCTCCGGTGCCGAAAGGCCGCACGATATGGGACTGGCTCGCCATTTTGTCCTACGTTGCCCATCGGAACGTAAAACTCTAAAGACACTAGGTTGTGCGTCACGAGTCAATGACTCAAGAGGACTGATGTTATGGCGACGATTGCACGCGCTCCTTTCGCAACCCAAAACACGTCGCCACTATACTTCGGGTCCAGCACCCGCATAGCCGCCCTAGCCGAACTAGTCAATCACCTAACCCTTACGTGCTCACGCCTCCAGCACCACCCAGGCCGCAGCGGACAACCCGCGCCTCACCCCCTCATTCTCCTCCCGTTTCTTCCATCGCGCTTCACTCGCCACTACCTGCGCGCAGCTGTACACATTCGGTTTGAACCATATTATATTCCCAGCTCCGAATCTTCAGTATTTCTCAAGTGAAAACTCCATCCTCATCCCCCAATCGCAGGGGCCCCAAGTCAAGCTGCAGCCGGTCCAGCCTGATACGGCGCAGCAGGTCCTCGGCAACGGCCCCGCCGCAACGGCTTCCGGCCGCGCCACCGCGTCCGACTCCCCCTCCATGCCTAACTCTCTAATCTATCGCGCCACCACCAAGCACGTCAAAACTGTGGTGCCGGCGCTACAGTGCCTGGACTTCATTAGCACTGCTGTTAACAGTGTCGGCGGCGGCGGCGTGCCGCGGCCGTATGGCAAGTTTCAGGCCTGTCGTTCCGGCGACGGCAACGCCACCTGGGAGCGGCTGCCGCCGCCGCCAGGCAGCTGGCAGGCCCGAGCCCTCCCTATTGCAGTCACACTTCTGGCCGAAAGTCCGCCAAGCTCAGCTGGGGGAGCCAGATCCAGCTCGCCCCAGCCAGCATCGTCGTCGTCGCGGCTGGCGCCTGGCACCGCTCCAGCGGCGGCGGCGGCGGCGGCCGGGGATGACGGTACAGGGCGCGGCGCCGGTCGGGAGTTAACTCGGGTCAGAATGCCCCTCACCCCGCCCGCTGAGGGCCCCAGCGGCTACAGCTCACCTCACAGCCACGGCCATGGCTACAGCCGCGGCCGCAGCCGCTCGCATCCCAGCCCTGGAGGTACGGCACCGTACGACTTACGTGGCCATGCACGAACCGAGGCCTCGAAACCCGCATCCGTCACGGGAACTAGCAGCGGCAGCGCTGGACTTGGGCCACGGATGTACGAGCAGTCGTACTACCGGCGGCCGGGGAGCAGCCAGCACCGTTCCTTGGTACCGCTGCCGCCTCCGGAACCACACAATTTGTCGGCCTGGTTTGCTTTGCCGGCGGCCACGTTCCTGGCGGACGTGCCGGATGTGCCGGAGCAGCTGCGAATGGACAACGGATATAGGTGTGTGGGAGGTGGGGACGTGCGGGGGGGGTACGGCGAGCGGAAGTGGTGGAGTTCGGTTTCCTTTCCTTTCCCTGGACGCAACGCACCCTCTGACCTTCCCCGGCGGTGATGTTGGTGCCGGTTGGTGGGACGGAGAGGTGGTCAAGCAGCATCCGTGCTCACTCCTCACTACGCAAGCCGCGAACGACGCTGTCGCGCGTTCCAATGTCATACATACATACATACATATATATATACATACATACATACATACATACATACATACATACATACATACATACATACATACATACATACATACATACATACATACATACATCGGTCCGCCTCCTGGCGCCGTCCACCATTTTCCCCTGATTCACGGATGCCCTCCCGTTTCAAGCCCTGACCCCCGTCCGTACGCCCTGTTCGCGGTTCCCCACCCACCCAACCTCCCTCGCCTGACCCCTCCGCTGCGCAGTGTCAGTCGGGAGTTCCTCATGTCCGGTCTCAACCCGCCCCGCCGTCTGCCGCCGCCCTCACCGCCGCTGTCGCCCATCCACTTCCTCGGCAGCAGCAGCAGCCGCCCGGAACACCCCGGCGCTCCGAACCCCGCCTCCAACAACACCCACCTCTTCAGGCAACAACAACAGCAACAACAGGCACACGGTGGGGGCGGGGCGCACGCCGCACTGGCGCCCCAGCCTCGGGCCGAGGATTCCCTAGCTTTGTGGAACGTCCTAGAAGCCAGTGCAGCGGCGGCCGTAGCGGCGCAGAACAGCAGCAGTAGCAGCAGCAATGCACACGGGGGCAGTCCTGGCAAGCTGCGTGGGGTGTACGTCCCGCTGGAGAAGCGAATGCAGGAGCCTTTGACGCCGGGGGAGCCACTGACGCCGTCACTAGGGCCGGGTGGCAGTGGAGGCGGTGCAGGTGCAGGTGTTGATGGGGTGGCGCCGCTGCGGGGTGTGCTGCACTTTCCCCCGGAGACCAGCTTACCTCGTCGGAATGAGCCGCCCGGGCGGTGAAAGAGGGGGAGCGAGAGCCGCCCTGGGCGGTGAATGAGTTGAATTGGTAGGAGGGGAAGTGGGAGGAGGGAAGAGGTAGGAAGGGAGAGGTAGGCGGGGAGTGGGAGATGATCTTCAGGGATAGAGGTGCCTTGTGCCTTGCGTAAGGGGGTGCTGTTGGAGCGGAGATGTGCGTGGTGGCTGTTGTTCGGTGTGGGCACTCCTAACACCTGGAGGGGGCGGCGGAGGAGGGGTGGATTGACAACGAGCGCCTGCTAGCGGCGCAACCAGGTGCCCATCATGCGGATGCTTGCGCATGCCTTGTATTGCTGCTACTAACAACAATGTGCATTCATGACGATGTGAGGAGGAGCTCCGTTCGGTATCTGTGTGATAGTGCGGGGGGGGGAGAGTGGGAGGGGTGTGTGTGTGTCTGGAATGCATGTGCATGTGCATGTGCATGTGCATGTGTGCATCAACAAAGAAATCTCGTCTGCTACTCCCCTATGTGCGAATGAACGATGAGGGAATGGCCCTACCGTGGATCCAGTACACGGATTCTAAGGTGGTACTCCCTTTGTATGAGGGAGGGATGATCGCCTTTAAAAGAAGATCTGAAGTTTTTGTGCACAGCACAGCACAGCAGGATGTTTCACATGGTGGGGCTCCCCTGAGACCGTTAAGTCGCCGTATTCATTGTTATCGTCACATGGAGACGCGGGGTGGGCAGCGGGACAGCGGAAGCCGTTGTACAACACGTAGGACCTCGGGTAGCGGGCGACGATCTGCAAGCTCACGTTTCGGGAACAGTCGAACAGTGTGCCTACGGCTACAGAAGTCGTGGTGGCGTTTTGTGGTGACTTTAATGTCGGGCGGTGTTGATTGTGGGCTTCTCTTGGAGGTTTCAACTCTTGGGGGTCCGAGGCATATCCGTACACTTGGGACATACCGCTGTGCAACGCATAAGCCATAGTCGCATGTGCGGCTTTGCTTTTATCAGTTACCACCTGCAGAGCTCATAGTACAGCTTAAGATATTGAGGTTCGTTGACCTTTCCCGGCGACCACTTGCTTTACTACGTCACCTAGGAAGGTGACGCCGTATATTGCCATATGCGTGATCGGTCAACCGTCGAAGGACAAAAAAGGAAAGAGGGCTATACGGGGCAGGTCATACCCTTCCCCCCCCCCCCAACGTTTCAAAAGGCGGCCATCCCGCACGGAAGCTCTGATCCCCAAGGAGGAGGAGGAGGACGACGAAGCGGCGAAGCGACATCGTCGTCTACCATTACACGACACGTCTATCCACCTGCAGCGTGGCCACCTGCCCGATAGCAACACATCACATCACACAGATATACCATGTGTATGCGGGTATAGGATTCCAGGACTTTTAAGTGCGATGCGATTCCCACCGACAATCAATAACCGCCTCGCTCCATCCGCCCCATCCCATGTTCGGATGGACACGAGTGCAGGACTGCATTTTTGCTCTATCCCCTGTTGCTGTTGTTTTCAACTGAAGCAGTGGCGGATTTGGAGCAGCACGATAATCCAAACGCCTCCAGGAAGTCCGAAAAGTTTGATTTGGCGAAGTTGTTTAGTCTAGTTGTGCGTGTGTCGTTAAGAACCGCGAAACACAAAACAAAAACTTTTCAGCCAATGCTGTGCAGTTAGCAGCAACACACAAAAAGAGCAAGGGAGGCGCCATTAGGCCGGGCGTCCTCCGCATCTAGGCAATGGCAGGTCTGCGCAGCATGCTGTAACCTTCAACTGCCGTACTAACAAACCAACCTGGGACAACAAGGCACACCACGTACATCATGCCTGTGCGTACAGGGGACTGCACGTACACAATGTGCTTGCGCGTGCACTCGGCACATGCCGCTCGGCACATGCACCATTGCGCACCCCGCCCATTGCAGTTGTTTTCCTTCCCTCAGACACCACAGGCCTGCTTGGCCTTGTCCACCGTGATAACTCCCTGCAAATAGTCATTGACTTGCTGCTTGTAGCTCGGCTCATCCAGGCACTCGTAGTATTTCGCGAAACCAGCAAGCTACGTCAAAGACGGGCAAGGTAGGCATGCAGGTAGGTAGGTAGGTAAACAGGCATGCAGGTAGGTAGGTAGGCAGGCAGGTAGGTAGGTAGGTAGGTAGGTAGGTAGGTAGGTAGGCAGGTAGGTTGATAGGTAAATGTATGATAGGTAGGCAGGTAGGCAGGTAGGCAGGCAGGCAGGTAGGCAGATAGGCAGGTAGGTAGGTAGGTAGGCAGGCAGGTAGGTAGGTAGGTAGGCAGGCAGGTAGGCAGGTAGGCAGGTAGGTAGGCAGGCAGGTAGGCAGGCGGGGGCAACAGATCGATCATAGGCGCACAGAGCAGAGCAAGGCAGAGTGATGCGGCTAGCAACAAGCGGCTGCTGTTGCAGTTATGACGGGTACATTTGGGGCAGCGATCGATGAGCAGCACAGCATATTGTAATACATTCCGACCCTAGCGACACACGCAGGTGATCAGATGCACCAAGCACTCCATGATCGCTGCGCTCGTCATGCATGCCAAGCTGCACCATGCTGTCCTACGCAGTGCCGTACTACACAGTGCCGTACTCCGTACTACGCAGTGCCGTACCACGCAGTGCTACCTTGCGCCTACCTTCCGACAGCATTCATCAGTTATCTTGTTTTCTTTGGCGCACTTGATGAATGCCTGGATGTTGGGGTCATTGGGCAGGACCTTCTTTCCCTCCTCGCACAAGGCGGAGTTGACGGCTGCAAGTTGACAGGGCAGGGCCGGCGACAGCATGCCCGAGGCAGCAGGGCACGGATGATGGTAGTTGGTATAGGCGACAATCTACCCAGAGATCTAATCTATTTCTTCTTCATCAAGCATACAGCATGTAGCAGTGCATCCGGTGCAAACTCCGATACTGAATCGGTCAACAATAAAAGTTTTGAATTTACCCACGCAAGCAAACGAGTAGCCACGCAAAGCTCGCGGCACTCGGACAAGGGGATGTGAGGCCACTTGCCGCTTGCAGTTGGGACACTCAACATCAACATCACCGCCGTGGCGACAATGATGGCCAGGCCGATGGCACGGCGACGGTCCATTTCGCTGGTCTGCCTTGAGGTCTAGGGGCTCCAGAGCAAGTGAACAGGGCGAGTCCACAAGCAGAACGGCTAGACGACGAAGGAGACGATTTGAAACCGCACAAGAATGTGCAGACGGACAACCCGTATATATATAGTCGGAGTACGGACAGACCAAAATCACTACCACGTACTTATCCAAACACCGCCACGTCCATGATTAGTACATATGTAATGCCCTAGTCACGTGATTTCCTCGTTGCTTTCTGTGGCCGTTGAGGCGGTTGGCTTTGCTCGCTTGATTCCAAAGTTCGGTAACTTCTTTCCCCGGAAGTCGCATGAAGTTGTCACCGCTAGATCCTTGGGCCCAAAGAAGGCTAGATTTTTCAATAGCCGCAGACATAGCGATTATTAGCTTGCTTTTGCAGAAGTTAAGGCAACAGTTGAGGCCAGATGGCCACTACAGCTGGTTTTGGTTGCAGCTTTGGCTTCGTATGCCCATGGTCACGTTCGTACAGCGGTCCTGGCCATCCCGATTGGGCTCTCCTTTATCCGTGACATACCTCGTCTCTGTAATACGAATGCCAAGGATAAATAATGTTACGATAGGCCCTCACAGATCACCGGTGCTGACTGCATAACCCCAATACTGAAATATTGGCCGACAAAGGCCCCATTAATAAGAGGTATCAGGCCGAACCTGCGTGAACCACGGCTTGGACAACACCAGTCAACCAGCTGCGCAGAGATGCTTGCTTGCCCCGCACTGCTGCAAAGAGTAGTGACGCCCCAAGGATGGCATATGAAAATGGAGCGGCGAAAATATTTCGATATGATGCAGTAGTTTTGCGGTAAATTTGTTTGCCGTGCGTGGTTTCACATACAGCATCCGTGCCCTTCAGCAGCACGGCTGCTGACCCAGCAGCAGCGTGTCGCGCTGTAGTCGTGTAGCGAGTCAGATCAAGTTTGACAGGACAACGCAAGGGTTGCGAAATAATGATAGCGAGTATCTTCGCGCAGAGAAATGTTTGGATGAGAAGTAGCTAGGGCAGGTGGAGCACTACCAAGCAAGCAGCAGCCCGTGGCTTGCTTCGCTTCACTTCGAGACGCGGACTCGGAATGGCCTGGGGACCTGGGGCCCGGCTGCGAAAGGGGCCCCAAGAGGAATGCAGTACTGTTGAACTGCCAGCAAGGTGCTCTTTGCGAGGTGTCAGTAATGCCGCATAGCACCTCGCTGGCGGTTCCAGCAGAGGCCTGTAGTCCTGCCGGGGCCCCTTCCAGGTCACCCAGCTGACTCTATATATTTTAATCGTTGGCTTCTAAATGTGTTCCTAATGGAGCCATTCCTTCGTGCACATTCGTCCGGGTGCCCAAAACGGAGACTACGAACCGCAGACATATAATAGGACATTCATCGGTGCCAGGGTTCATTCCGTTTGCATGAGGGTGTATGTTGGCATGGTAGATGCCTCGAATTTGGGGGCATCGAACATACCAGTGCACCAGATGCTCAGGTAATAAATTGCGTGCTCACCTTGCTCCAAGGTCCTGTTCGGCCACAAACTTTACGAAAATAATAACTTACTACTGAAGCGCCCCACCATTTTCCTGAACTCAAGAAATTAGTATCCCCGAAATCCAGCACAGACTTTTCACCGGTGCACCGGTTGTGATCATGCTCAAGTGGGCGGGCCGTGCTCCCAGCCAACCACGCTGTAGCTGCCCGCTGTCCAACTACGCCCCAGTGCTGTGTTAGAGGAGGCCGGAACAGGCTGAGCATGCTCACTACTGGTGCACCGGTAAACTGCATGCTCAGCTCATTCCTCGCGTGCTCCGTGGCCAGTCTGGGTTAGCTCAAAACCGGATCGCGCTTTCATAAGCCGCAGCACTGGGGCGTAGTTTGACAGCGGGCAGCTACAGCGTGGTTGGCTGGGAGCACGGCCCGCCCACTTGAGCATGATCACAACCGGTGCACCGGTGAAAAGTATGTGCTGGATTTCGGGGATACTAATTTCTTGAGTTCAGGAAAATGGTGGGGCGCTTCAGTAGTAAGTTATTATTATCTTAACTTGGTCCAACTCTTGAAAATTTCCTCTCTACAGCGTACGGTAAATCAAATCCAAAGGTGTAACAGGAAATTCTTCATCTGTCAGCGCGGCACCAGCACGCAGCTCAGCAGCAGGCAGGTCTGGTCGTTTTATTGAACCAGCAGGTGTAGACAAGGCATTTCTATCTTACGCATGGTTTGGCATTTTCCGGTACTGAGTTTGTCCCGGCCGGTAACCGATGCTATCGGTGGGGTCAGCCTTCGGTAGGTGAAAAGGCTGGTAACTCCCCGGTAACCCTACCGAGGCCCCATTGGGGCCACCCTAGCAACCGGTTGGGCCCAGTGACCGATTGGTGACCGGTCGAATGTATGCCATAGGGAAGCAGAGAAAAGAAAAGAAAGTATGAAAAATAACTCTTAACCTGCAGGTGGGTCAGCCTGGGTAAAAATCCTGCCAGCAAGCTTATTGCGAACGCTCCGATGGTGGTTTTAACATTGTTACGAGAGTAAGCGATGTTACTACTCGGCTAGTCGAAAGTGGCAGTGAAATCAGGGCAGTGAAATCAGAACGCACCTGACGATCATGAAATGCAAACGGCACGCCAGGACGAAGCTGTTAACGAGGCAAGATTGGGGCGCCGTACTACGGATAATTACTTTTACATTTTACAAAGTCAAGCGGCTTTTCATCAAGTCTTGGCGGCAACCACTGACAACTGAGAAACAACATCAAGCACCTCCAATAATGGCCCATACACACTATCCCAATTAAGCCGGACAACTACCTGTCGTCGTCAGAGCACACGCAACCGAAGCACAATAATGTAGTCATCACACAAGAATTTTAGACAGCCTAAAGCTAATCAGATAATTGTCCATACTTTGGGATGGCCTGTCTAGGGTAAATGCGGAAAATCCTGGAATTTGATGTTGGCGTTTTTCAACGGGTCCAACCGAATCGCTTGTCGACCGGCGGTCTTCCCCCGGTGGGCCTTGGTGGGGCCTACACAAATACATCTGCAGAGGAAGGCGACGTTGGGCGGGAGCTAGTAAGACAAATCGTCAGCCATGCATGGACCTTCGCAAAGGGTGGAGACAAATATAGCACCATCAATCACATAATCACCGAAAAGAACGTCATAGTCCATCGTCATAGTGTAGTGAGGATACGTACGAGAAGGAAGGACGAGCATCGCGCAGTGCATCATGTGCTGTTGGTAGTTTCCCGATAGCCGTGAACGGGTACGGGAATTCAGCGCACCAACAGCATGCATTCACCACCACATACAACGTCCCTCGCCAGCTGCCACCTTGTCTCCCCACCCTCCGACACTGCTAGTCATGTGCTGACCTGCACAAGGAACTGCCACTCACCACGGGCTGCAAGGCGGGTACGCCTCCAAGACCGTCACCGCCTTTCTCAGAATCCGCACATCTGCTTGGTTTTGTCAACGGTGGTCACACCGTTGAGGTAGGAGTCGATGTCGGCCTTGTAGCTGGGGTCGGTCAGGCAGTCGTAGTACTTGCCAAAACCAGTCAGCTGTACATACACATATGAGCGAGGGGCAAAAAGCGGCGGATATGGCTAGAAGGAGATGTCAAAATGAGGATAAGAGATGGCAGTAGAATAATGAATGCCGGCATGCAGCTCCCCAGGCAGGGCCCTAACGGCTATGCCGAGAGTCTCGGCCGAATATCCGCTGCACGCTGCGAACGATGATGGCAATTCGCCGATGCTAAAGGCCCAGCCATCCATCCAACTCTTTCGACTGACATACATACAAATGACCCAAGGGAAGGTTCTACACACTTCTACTACTGCTCTTAAGATCAGGAGGGACCTCCGGAGCTCGCAGCCACCGCAATCAGCAAGCCGCCCGTCGCCGCTGGCTAGGAAGCAGCGCCTTGTTGCAGGCCCAGCAGGCGCATCATACGCAGACGTAATCCATTACCAAACTGCTGAACAACATATGCCGCGTGGCGTTAAACATCTAGGTCACAGAACACACCTTCTGGCAGCACGCATCGGATATTTTTGTTGGCGTGGCGCAACTCTTGAATGCCTTGGCGTTGGGGTCGTTTGGAAGGACGCGCCTGGCCTCCTCGCACAAGGCCTTATCCGCAGCTGCAAACCAACAGGCCATTGCGTGGTAGTAGACAGGCAACAGCATTCGTGATGGGAGCGGGAGCTCATGGCAGCATGATGTATTAGTTCAGCATACGTGTGGGCTTCAGCCCAGCACCAGCTGGCTGCTGACGCTGATTCGCGCTGAACGCGGAATGCGGCAGCGAATTCAGGACTACGGCGCAAAGGATTGGTATCTACGGATTGTTAGGGATGCCAGACGATGCCCGCCGAAGACCTTTGAAGGCAATCACCAGCATTAAGAGCAATGGCAGAGCATGGCAGCCATCATCAAGGAGCTTAAACCCCGATGGAATGAAATACCAAGGGCTGACCCCACTGAGCTGAAGCCTTTATTAAAGCCTAGCTGCAATAATCGTATTCGTAGATCCCCTCAGCGCCGGCAGATAGCGGAGGGTGCAACGCACTTCACCACGCTTCGATTTGGGCGACATGTGTTCTGCGGCGTCTCCAGCCATTCCTTACCAGCCAGTCCGGTCTACGTCACCTACCCAGCACTGGGGGAGCTCCCAGAGCCACAATCAGCAGCACAGCGGTCACGCCGGCGAGAACAGCACAACGGCGATTCATCGTACAAATATCTGTATACGCAATCTTCCACTAGTTCACCTTCTCCAAAGCTGGTGTATACCACTGTATATATGATCAATGCAAAAAAATGTACTTTGATTTTACGGGGAATTTCGCAGTTGGCTTTATACTCGTGCGACCTACCTACCGCGGTACTACTTGCGTTTCATCGCAGGCGACCGTACGCTAACTGTCAATCGCCGTTTGTTCAGTTCCTGACCAAAGACCCAAGATCGATTAGATTCATCCAGTACTTCTCCTCCTCGGACGACAGCACAACGGCATTGCCCTAGGAGCATGGCAAAAGTGCGTGCACGCATCGGCCGCCGCGCCGTGCGCAGAATCCAGCGACCTAATCGTCGGATTCTGTGCACGGGGCGCCATTCAATTACGGGGCCATTTGCTAATATTTGTTATCATCTTGCTCCATGGGATACCGATGATGGCATTATCAGGGGAGGTTATGGCGGTGTCGCATGTGGCAACAGAATGAGTCTTTGGAGCCGTCGGTGATGGTGCGAGATCGTCGCCTCCCTGCCAAAACATCGCAGGTGAATGCTAAAATTTCACTATGCATAGAAAATTCTTTGCTCGTATTTAGGCGCAATCAAGGCTATTGTATTTACTATTTTTTATGGTTCTTAGTTCGGACGTACGCCCGCCCTCCATGCCACAAGGGCTTCCGTCGGACTCTGTCGCGCATGTGGCGACTTCGATGGGATAATGAACATAAAGAAGTCCTTTGGGGGCTAGTGCTTGATGGTTTCCCCGCCTTTGCTATGCATAGGGCGCAACGTCAGAGAGGCGTCCTTGCTGCTTTGTGTCCCTGTGGTGTGTGCATGGTTTGTGGGGATCGTCGGCATCACTTCTGGGACAGTACTATCGCTTTGGCTCTTCATGAGGCTTTGCAGAACGAACTAAAGTTTCCAGACCTTATTTACCGATCTAATTTGTGGTTGGGCATTCCATCAGCCTCCATTTATGGGTGCAGAGGGGTGCAAAGTGGTCCTAATCCTCTAATCCAGGGGGTGGGTATCGGTCAGCAATCCTCTAATCTCAACAGGGGTGGACCACTTCTAATCCCTAATCCAGAGTGGTGGTCTAATCCATATCCTAGGGTCGGGGTTCTAATCCTAATCCTGTGGCCGGGTCCCAATCCCAATCCTGGGGGGGGTCCCAATCCTAATCCTGGGGCCGGACCGTAATCCTAACTCTGAGGCTGGGGTCCCAATCCGAATCCTCTTGGTCGTGTCGTAATCCTTATCGTGGAGCTGTTATCGTGTGACTGATTCGGTAAAACCTTAATTTTGGCTGGGGGGCCCAATCCTAATAGAAGGGTGCCGTGACACGGAAACACACAGTGCCATACAGGCGCGAGGCGATGGCAATGCAAGTGCGTAAAAAAAACCAATGCAATTTTACAGCGGGTATATGATCAAACGAAGTAAAACTTGAAACATAAAAAGCAGGCTGACGAAGCTGCGCATCCTGGCCATTTCTGCAGTATCGTGCCATAAGAAGAGTTTAAGCAGGGATACTGCGTCTAAACACCTTGATTCAAGCATCTGCAGATGCGACTGTGGGGCGGTCGAAGATAAAATGCACTTATGTCCTATAGCCTTCATGGCTTGCTGTACGGTTGCGTTCGGGGTGTCGGATAGGACAGGGCGAGGCGAAACCGGGGCTGCCAAGGGCCTTACACTACTGCAGAGTACTAATTGCTGCTCTCGGAGCGCCAGGGCGCGTGTGCGCCGAAGCGCGGTCTAGCGCCACACGGCGCGGTCTGAGCGCGCGCAGCGCTGTCCAGCGCGGCCACACCGGCACGGCCGAAAGAACTGACGCACAGCACTAGACAACTAAACGCAGCATTAATGACTGCGTCCACTGGTCACCCGCCCCGAGGGCAAACCTGAAGCGTCAGCGACGCACGAACCACACCCTGGCCAGCGGGGCTGGCCAGGCGACATTCCTAGCGCGCGACGATACTCTATAGGCACTTATTTGCCGTGCGGTAATCGCTGTACAGCTGCACGTCCGGCGCTCCGAGGGGACTGCCTAATCACCGGTCTCCAACTGGGCCGAGCCTGCCGCTTATAAACGAGGGACACTGAGGGCGGGGGGGGGGAAGTGAGAGCAACAATAATAATAAGCTCCAATAGTGTAGGCAGAATGCCGGAACTATGGAGCTGTCAGCTGAAATAGTAAATTCGAATTCTCAGCAAGCCATACGGCTGCCGTACATAACCTAGCTTAGAGGCTATACTCGCTTTGCTCCTGCCGCATCTAAGCTACAATTAG